TCCTTGTCACTGAAAAAATTAGTAAGAGTAAGTAGGGGAAAGAGTTAAACCTTCGACCCTTTCTCTTCCAACAGATATATAAAGACATGGAAAAATATAAATATAAGGGCTCCTCTGGCTTTCCTGTCATTTTGCTTCCCACATTTACTAGAAAGCAAGAGAAGGTTTTTAAAGTTTTGTTAATGAAGAACACAATAACCTGTTCTGGTCTTGACCCACAACTGAGTCAACAATGAAAATACGAGAATAGCAAAACAACTATTCTAACTTTTCCTTTGTGCTCCCCCTTGGGAATAGGCATCAGGCAGATTTCCAATGATAAATATAATAGGATCTGAACTCATACATGTTCATGGGTAAGTTGCAGCTAATGAGGAAATCTTAAAAGTGCTGATGGCGTCAAAGGTAAAAGGCTTTACAGATGTAACAAACACAGGGGAAAGCCCTTCCTGACCCTTTCCCTCCTCAGTTAGTGATCCCAAATGTAACCATGTTCATAAAGTGCTGAGCCCCAGGCCTGGCAAACAGACCCAGTATCATTTTCTCCCTCTTCCTCTTTCTTAGACTGAGACACATTTTTAAGCTATGCTGTTTGGGATTCTGCTACAGACAAGCACATGGTATAGTTCAAAGGGTCTCTAGGACATTTTTTTGAACATGGAATTGGACCTTGTTGATAGAAAGAACTTTTAGAAAAGAGCCACCAACAGCAGCAGAATCATATTTAAATTCCCAGATGATAATATTGCTCTAGGCCGAGAAGTAAAGGCTTTATTTGGAGTAATAATTTTTAAAGCCACTTCTCAAAAAATAGTTTAGGTTTAACACCCTTTGTTGGAGGTCTCCTCCAAAAACTAGTACAAAACTTCTTTTTGATTTGTGGCCAGTGGAATCACCATGCAGCTTTAAAGGACAGGCCATTTTCTTTTCTGCATATGTATGAGGCCCATATAACACACACACACACACACACATACACTCTCTCTCTCTCTCTCTCTCTCACTTCAGAGGCCCAGGAGGAAATGACTAGGTAGAATTTTAAATCAGAAATCTAACGCTTAAAGTTAGTAGTGTCAGGTTAAAGGCTCGCCCATCCCCAAAGCTAATTCGGTTCTGAACAGTCCCATGGGTGTCTCGTGGAACAGAAGGAGCTAGGAAACCTTAGCAGGCCGAAGCCCAGCCTGGGGAATTGTTGAAACTCCGTGCCAGGGGCTGAGGTGCACCCCAGACTCGGTATCAGATAATACCAAGTGCTCGTCTGGATTTCCAGGACTAATCTGCTCGAGGCTGGAACTTCCAGGTTCCCTGGTGTCTGTGCTGTAGAGTGGGAGGACTTTGTCCATCCACACTGTGCCTGGCTAGTATTATATTTTATAACAGAAAAAATAGATTCCACACATAAAGTCTATGGTTTATGAGGGAGTGCAAAGGCAAGGGGCGGGGGGGGGGCTATGGGAAAGTAGAAAGCACTCTGAAGTTTCAATAGATTCAGTTTTCACAAGTTTCTTTTTTGTAATCTAATTTGTATTCTACTTCTAATTTTAAATGTGCTCACAGGTTCTCTAGATCAATAGTGGCTATTAGCCACTTTTGTGTTTACTCAGAAGGGTTCTTTGGTTTCAAAAGCAAGTTTCCCCATCTCATTCCTCGTCCAATTCTACCCCCCCCGCCAAAAAAAATTATACACATCTCTCCTTTCTTTTATTAGGGTCAAGTTTAAAATCTAATGCTGTATATAACTTCTTAAAACCCTGAGATGATCTATTAGGGCAACCATAATCCCCGGAGTTAATTTTTTTAACTGTATACAAAAAGGTTGTCCAGGTTAAGAAAAAAACCTTTCCCTACGTATAAATAAACAAATAAAGAATTTAGCATTAAAACTGAGATTTAAGACTACAAGTATATTCTACATTAAATACTAATTTACGCTAATTTTACCGAAGTCAGTATTTATTACCTCTCCCCACCACTGCAAGTTTCTTTAAGACTCACTCAGCACTTAGGAAGCCTTAGGTTACTGTGTCTGAATTGCAAAACACACCATTTGCCCAGAAATTGCTTAGTCCAAATGCAAATTGCTTACAAAACATGTGTAAACCATGCTTAGAACAGGCAGCACACATCCACAAAAATCCATTCAATGCAAAGGTAAGTGGAAAAGCTTTGCAAATTAGGCTTCCCTTTAAAAACTGGAGGGACATTTACGGTGTTTCCAAAAGGTAATTGCTTCTTATTTCAGTAAAAGTGGCTTTATGTGGCTGGAAGGAGTTGATTTTTTTTTTTTTTTAAGTGAGTGGATAACAGTATTCAATTAGAGAACAGGGTGGGAGAGCCCACTCTTAAAATATAACTTAATCACCAGGCACCAGCAAGCAGGAGAGGCCCACCAAGCATACGAGCTAAAATGGAGCCTGAATTTCCTCTCAGACTGAGAGGGTAGTCGCACGAGGTCAGGGTCAAGGTCACCAGCAGGGCAGCCTGCAGCTGCCCGAATGCGCTACATACAACGGGAGGGAAGGCGCTCCATCTCCGTCAGAGCCGAAAACAGATAAATCCCTTCTCCTCTCCTACCCTCCCTCTAACCCCGCCAACATTTTTTTTTTAAGCAGGGGGAGAAGAGAAGAAAGGAAAATGACCAAATAACCTCACCGCCCTGGTTTTCGCACACAAGCTCATCAGCTCCCAAAGTTGCCATCTAAGGGCAAGTTCGCAGAGAACACTGAAGCCCATTTTGTCCGAGCAGGGCAAGCCTCCCCCGACCCCCCCAGGATTCCTGCCTCCTCTCCCTCCCCCGCCACACGCCCCCGAAAAGAGCTGGGAACTGGCCGGCCGGCCATGTGCACGCACACACTCTTCCACCAACTGCTGCGAGTTTTCTGTGAATCGCAGCGCGGAGCCTCCCAACTCGCCCTCCCCGACTCCACCGCCTTCTCTTTCCTCGCACAAAATTTCCCTACACACGCAGCCGCCTGCGAGTGATTTTATGTGCATATATATTACATATGTGATATTATCCTCAGAACCTCTAGCGGGCAGGCGAAGAAAGGACTGCACAGGGGCATTTTTTTTTTTTTTAAAGGAAGGGAAAAAAAGCACAACCCAAGCCCTGTGCGTCGACTCCTGCGTACCGGGAAGGGAAAAGAAAGAGGAATGTTTACGGAGCGGGCTGCCTGCAAGTGCCCTTGCTCGCCACTTCAGCCGCGGCCCGGGTGACACGGAGCCGCCGGGGCGCTCGGCCTGAGCAACCCGCGCCCCCTGCCCGTCCCCCCGGGCAGGCACCGCCGCGGATATTTCGCGAGGGGGAGATCGATCGCGCTGCCTGTCTGCAGCGGAAACGCACAAGCTCACACACAACCCGAGCCCGAGACACCATAACCTTAACCCTTCCCCCACCCTCCGTGAACTTCAGGTGACCGACCACGTCGGCCTGACACCCAGGCGGGCGGGCGCTCCGGCTCCGCTCCCGCCCCCAGCCCGGGTTTTGCAGGATCGGGATCCAAGCAGCGCCAAACCGCCGGGAGAGGGGAGCAGTGAGGGGGGAGAGAGGAGAAATTGACCCTCAGTCTCCCCCGACCCCTCCCTCCGGCGCCTCCGGCGTCCCCTCCTCCCCGTCACCCCGCCCCACGCCTTCTCCCCTGCCCCCTCCTCCCTGCATTCAAGGAGCCGGGCGGCCCCGGGGGATATTTTTAGTTGCTTCTTTCTCCTTCACTTTTAGCTTTAGCAGCATCTCGGAACACTCAAAGCGGAGAAAGATTGGGGTGGGGGGGGCGGGAGCTGGAGAGGGAGTGGGGGAAAAGTTAAGAGTCTAGCAAAGAAAAGCCGGAGGGAGGGCGGAGAGGGACGGGGGCGCGGGTGGAGGAGGGGAAGGGGACCGGGCCGTGCCGGCGGGTGTGTGTCTCCAGTTGGTGTGTGTGGCTGCAGTCGGGCAGGGTTGTGATGCACTTTAGTCCTGGACTCTGCTCAGGCTTGCCGGGGAGGGGGGTCTGAGAGCCCGAGTCTCGCCTGGCTCCGTCTGCTCCGACTGACCCCGCATTTTATTGCGGCCAGGAGCCCTGCTCCTCCCTCCCCTCGGCTCTGCAGGGACCTCGCGCGCCGCGAGCCGCCCTGCTCCTGCCTCCGCCTCGGCGCAGCTCCCGCACCCCACATCCGCCCGCCGCTGCCTGGCCTCGCCCCCCGCCCGGCCGCCCCGCGCCCTCCGCGCCCCGGCGCGCCCCCTCGCCCGGGCGCCGCGGGAGCAGCCGCCCGGCGGCGCGTGTGTACCGGTGTGTTTGTGTGCGGTGCCCCCACACCCTCCCCAGCCGCTCCCGCCTCGCCCGCCCCCGACTCCCCTCCTCCGCCGCCGCCTCCTCCACCTCCTCCTGCTCCTGCCGCCGCCGCTGCCGCCGGCGGCCCCGGGGCCGACCAACCCCGGCGCAACCTTTAGCCGGAGACGGACCTCTCCCTGGATCCTGTACCCGGCGGGCGGCCGCGCGCCCTCGCCCCGACACCCCCAAACGCCATGTCACGGCCCCCAGCCCTCCGCACGCCCCGACCCCCGCACCCTCAGGCACTAGGATCCACAAGGAATTTTTTTTTTTAAAGATTCCAACCTCTCCCACCTCCTCCCCCCCCCCACTCCCGGATTTAAAAAAAAAAAAACCCGGCATCCACACTACTCCCCTCCTCCCGTCTCTTGCCCCCTCCCCCCAGCAACCCGGAGTGAGGAGGGGGAGGGGGAGGGAAAAGGGAAAAAAGCCCGATCTCAAGGAAAAAAAGAGGGGGGGGTGAGAGAAAGAAAGAAAAAGAGAGAGAGAATAGAAAGGGCACGGGGCTGATCATCACCAACATGGCTGCCTCAGCATAGACCTAAACGAGGAGTAACCCGGGCTGTGTCTTTGTCAGTTTCACCTCTGTAACCCTAAACTAATGCAGAAAACAACGGAGGAGGCTGCGGAGGGGAAAGAGGAGAGGGAGGGCGAGAAAATGGCACGAGAGGAGGTGGAGAAGGGATGACTTACGTGAGGGAAGGCGCTTGGGCTGCTCCTGCTTCCTCCTGGGCATTTTCCCCCTTTTCTCACATTCTCCTCCTTGGTTAATGTGAGATCAAATAAACCCCCGTGGGGGCAGAGAGGCAGACACTGGCAGGAGCGGGGAGGTAGTTGGGGGGCGGGCGGGCGGGCAGGGGGAAACCCCTTCTCTCCGGTGTGTGCAATGGGTTGAAGCTTGTTTCCTGGAGCCAGATGAGGGTTTCTCTTCTTTTCTTTCCCTTCTTTTTTTCCTTTTTTTTTTTTTTTTTAATTTTTGGTCGTGCACCTGGCTTGTCCCCGAGCGTAATATTCTTCAATGGAAACGGACCTAATAGGTGTGAGTGTGTGTGTGTCCTATGCTCGCGTGTGTGATGGGAGGTATAAATAAATGAGTGCCGGTGCGGCGGTGTCTATGGCCGCGCTCTGTGTCTCCGAGCCCCTAACACTAATGTCGGGATCAAAGGGCAGCGGCGGCGGCGGTACAGCTCACAGCTCGCTCTCTCGCTCTCTCTCTCTTTCTCGCTCTCTCTCTCCTCTCGCGCTCTCTCTCTCTCTCTGTCACACACACACACTCACACATACACAGAGGCACAGACTGAGGGAAAGAGCGAGAGCTAGACACACACACACACACACACACACGCAGAGCAAAGAGGAAGGTGCCCTAAGGCTCCCAGGGCGGACTCAGCCTGGGATTTGCAACCGCTCGGTCTGGAAAGAATGGGGGGCGCGCGTGCGGGGGTGGGATGGAGTTCTTCGAATTTATCCCGCTATTCGCCAAATCTAGGGGGAAAAAAGTTTTCCCCACTCTTTAAACAACGATTAGCCCATTACTCTGGCTCATTTTTTTTTTTTTTAAAGAAAACAGATTTTTCTCTTAACTTTCTTTTGTTTATTAAACTACATTTTGTTCTGTATAAAATTCTTCAGGCTTTTTCATTGCAAGAATTACTCTCTCACCCCATCACCTTAAGTTTGTGGAGGTTACAGTTTCCCACACACTCTTCCAAAAACGTTCCAATAAAAATAATTTTAAAAAAATAAAAAGATAGCATATGGTGAAATCGATAACGAGGTTGATGGAATAAGTGCCCAGTTTTGGAATGTTCAGTGGAGTTAAAACTGCAACACGCTGCCGAAATGAAAATTACATCCCCTTGACGAAGGGGGAGAAAAATAAGATTCGGTCACCCCCGTGGTTGATTTAACTGCTACATGATACTCCTACAGTACACAGAGAGATCTTGACTTCTGAAATTTACTTTTTTTTTGCTACTGTAGTGCAGGTATGTGAAGCTACCCTGAAGCAATTCTAGTTTGCATTATAAACCCAAATATAGCAGTTTTCATCAACTGATACATACTTTCATTACTTTACAAATCACACATCTGTCTTCAAAGAGAGACATAAAGGGGAAAAATAGAAAAGGATGGGTCTCACTCTAGCACAAAAGGTACTTGGTGAAAGAGGACTGTTCTCTTTGTGACTTGCAGTCATTTGGATAAAAGTTCACTCAGAGGTTGTTAATGATTTAAACTCCAAAACCTGCTACTATAATTGAAGTAAAAATGGTCTGAAGAAGAGTTGTTTCATAAAACTCTCTTTGTAAGAGGAAACTTTGAACTTAGCAGAATACATTATATGTCATGAGTCAGATGTAGCTAAAAAATAAAAAGGTGAATTATTTAACTACATCTTCCGTTTTTAGCTTTTTAAAAACTCTGACTCATCATCTTATTATGTTAAATATTTTCTTACCAATTTTAAAATAGACTTTTTCATCAAAGAAGGTGGAGGCATGGTGGAGATACAGAACGTTAAAATGACACTCTGTAAGCTTATACAGATAGCTAATGCCTCTTGAAGGTTCTAGGCTAATTCTTACAACTTGAGTGGTGTTAACAACAGCCATGGTGGATAAATCCCTACTTCCCCCTTAAAAATAACAATAAGTCTTTATATTGCATACTTTTGTTAGAGAAGCTTAAAGAGTGTTGTATCTCCCATAAAATGTTTTCCATTGATAATGAAATATCAGGATTAAACCCTCTCTGCCAACTCCCGGAAAGATCCACCTTCAGTGTGTGACAGGTAATGCTATCCGAAGCAGGTTTTGAAACACCTGCTTGAATTCAATCTAAAACTAAAACAGAGAGCAGTCAAGTTTAGATGATGGAGCATCATTCTTAAACCAATTCTTCCCTGAGTGTTGGCTTAAGTAAACCGGTTATCTAAATTACCTTGGGTTATAATCTGAAATGGAACGATTGTCCAACTCAAATCAAACTCAACTTACCATGACTTTGACTATTGTCAGTAGCATTGGACTTGAAATTAATATATGAATGATAAGTCAGAGCCCATCCATTCCAAGTAGACTCATTGCCCTGAGTAGGCAGGATCTTTAAACCTAACACAGGGCAAACAGAACGGTCACAACACTCTACCACTGCATGCTCTGAACTTTTGGCTAGGATTTGAAGGACAATTACTCTGCATAGACTCACCACCACTATTTTCCTGAATTGCTATGACTCTTTACAATGCTTAGTACACTATAATCGAAGACACACTTTAGGCCTTTCCTCAAAGTAGAGTACATTTCCTGCGGCCTTTTAAAGGCATGCAGGCAAACGCTGTCAACATTTAATTATATGGGTATTCTATCAACAGCCAAAAGCATTTTTAATTGAATTTATTCATACCTCTACCACTTTCCAAAAATTATTTGAAGTAGTACACAACAATGGAAAATGGAAATAAGGACAGAACAATTTCTGTTTAAATCTCAGTGTGGTATCTGTCTGCTACAAACCACTCTTCAAGGGCACTGGCATCTCACCTTCAATGGCTATATGTTCAAAGAACACAAACTAATTTTAATGTTAGGCCAATCTACAATATTAGGATGATAAATAGCTGGAAGTTGCTACGATGGATTTCAAAATCAAATGAATAAATGATTCTGGGAATGCCTGCCTTTTGGACGCACATAGCCATGAACTTTTAACTTGGATTATTGTTGACCACAGTCATTACATTGGAATATTCCACTTGGTTTACCCCTACAGTCCAAGCTTTTAAAAGAATATTTTATTGGGGCATCTGGGCGGCTCAGTCAGTTAAGTGGCTGCCTTTGGCTCAGGTCATGATCCCAGGGTCCTGGGATGGAGCCCCACATCGGGCTCCCTGTTCCGCGGGAAGCCTGCTTCTCCCTCTCCCTCCACCTGCTGCTCCCCCTGCTTGTGCTCTCTCTCTCTGACAGATAGATAAAATCTTTTTAAAAAAGAATATTTTATCTTAATAATTACAGTACTCTCTCCACCCCATCTACATCACCTCTCAAATGTGAGATTAGAATCGATTTTCTCAGAATTGTGCATTTTAAGATGTTTCATAAATGGTCGCTCTCACAGGAGTACATTCTATCCTAGCCCAAGTATTGCTGGAGAGGGTAGACAGAGGGAGCACTTCCCCTAAAATGGTGTGTGGTCTCTAGAGGGGTCCTTGAATATTTTCATAATAATACTAAGATGTTATTTGCCCTTTTATCTGTGTTCATATTTCTACTGATGATGCAAAAGCAATGGGAATGAAATGCTGACACCTTAGCAGCTCGAATCAAGGCAATGGCACCAAAATGTATTAGTAGTCATTCTCCACCACCATGCACTTAGAGGGAGAAAAAAGGAAGATTCATTTAAAAGTCTCCTTGATGGAGCAGTAAAATTTACTAATTTTATTAAATCTCGACCCTTGAGTACAAGACTTCTAAATATTCTTTGTGACAAAATGGTAGGTACATAGAAAATACTTCTGGTGCATACTGACATACATCAGTTGTCTCAAGGAAAATCACTTCTGAGATTGTTTGATATGGCTGCGTTTTTCATGGAATATTATTTTTACTTGAAAGAATGACAAACTGCAGTTATGCTGAGTTGGATATTCCTCAAAAAAATGAATAAAGTAATCCTATAACTTCAAGGACAACAATGCACAGAATTTTTTGGCAATGACAATATTTGTACTTATAAGTGAAAATCAGAATTTTAGATAACTTGTATCCATCACTGTGAGTTTAACAGCTTCCTAATACAGGCTTTTCTGACGTGATCCATGGTGATGTTAATGAATATGACTTTTATATATTGTGTCAACATTTTGGAGGAACAGCATAACTCAGTGAACCAATATTTTCCAAATGACCAATACGTGGTGTTACAAATTCATGGTGTAGTAAAGGATCCATTCAATGTACAAGGTAGACCAATGAATTTTAGTGTAAGAGTATAAAAAGTTCATTGATATGGTTTCAGATTCGACACCATAAGTAATTTTTAAGAAATAGCCACTCATCAAGTTTTGGTGTAGTGTCAAGGAAGAATATCCACAATTATCTGAAAAGATTATTAAAATACTCTTCCCTTCCTCCAACTACATATCCGTATGAAATTTGTTTTTCTTCATGTGCATCTTTAACCGAAGCAACATATCACAACAGATTGAACGTGGAAGCAGATATGAGAATCCAGCTCTCTTCTACTAAGCCAGACATTATAGAGATTTGTAGAAATAAAACACAAGGCTACTCTTCTCACTGAAATTTTGTTTTGAAAAACATAGTTATTTTTCATAAATAGGTGTTATCTTATATTGAGTTTATTATTGCTATTATATGTGAAATAATAAGTAAATATTTTCTAAATTCTGCAGTTCTGATGCATAATATAGTGAACATCAATAGACATAACCCACATAAACAAAACTTCTTTGGAGCCCTCGATAACTTTTAAGAGTATAAAGGAGTCCTGATTCCAAAGAGTTTGGGAACCTCTGCCCTAGAATTTAATTAAGATGCAGTTAAAGACCTTCTCTGGGTGTTCTACTAGAGGCCTGGGGATCGAATTGTAAGTATGTTTCAACTTCTCATAAAGTGAAGCACACTTAGCTTCAGGAGCTGAGAGTTGGTTTTGTGTGCCCCAAGACTGGCTCCTCTTGACGAGCTCCCTTCCGAGACACAGAGCGGCTGTATCAGACAGGGTTGTCTAGAGTAACAGAATCAATAGGATATA